TAAAATATTTTGATTACACAATGATACATGATGGAAAAAATGCACTGACTAATTCGGACAACAAGAAATCATGATTTTCAGCTATTTAAGACACTTTTTGCAAAAAAATATTAAATTGTTATGGACTGTAACATCTTGTAATTCATAACAATGAGTAACACAGTATTAAAATAATTAAAAATATAACCATTTGAAAAAAGCAGAAAAAAAATAATGACTTCGGACACCAAATGTACCTGCAATTATAGAATCACTCATACACTTATCCATTGTGATTTAATTGAAATCGAATTGAATATTCTAATCTTGTCGGTTAACGAATGGTAAATGAAATGAACGCATGAATGTTTGAGAATGAGCAGAGAGTAGGCGGTCTTTGGTGGCTGTTCGACCACATGAGCGTCTAGAAGTGCTCGAAAGTGGACAAGCTCAAAACGTTTTAGACCCCGTTCACACCTGTATTCAGCGTTGTCCACTTGTGATCGGATCGACGAAAACGCATCTTACCAGGTGTAAACAGGGCCAATTCAGTAGTTTGGTGCTAATTTTAAAAAGTTTACACATTAAGAAATAAACAGTTTTTGTTAAGAGTCATCTGTATTGTGTAGAATGAGATGAAGACTGTGCTCATAATATTTTCCTTTTTTTAAAAAATGCTTTTTATTCAAAATAAGATGCGAGTCACTTCGCCATGTTGAAATGACGTCACCAGCGGAGGTTGACTGAACGTCGGCGATTCGCTAGTGTTGTAGCGCGAAAATTAGGCAGCGAAGACTAGGAGAAAATCCTGAGTTGTGACGCTCAAGTTGCCTCTTTTTGTTACAGGTAAGGGATTGATTATCTCACTAGTGTAACTGTAATGTACATAACTCATGCTGATAGCATTTAACTGCATTGTGCAATGCTAGCTGAAAAACTACTGAATGTACCTTTACATTTGGCCAGAATTAATTTTTAAGAGTGCACCGATGTCTCAAATACTGTCTGAACAGGCAGCTCACTAGGTTTTGGAACAGATCTTCTTTCCCTGCTGACTGAGTAATCATGTGGCTGAGGTTAGTGCTGGACATGCACAGGTAAATGCTGACTTTGCAGCAGCAGATTGCAGATTGCAGCCCAAACCTCCATGCCCTCAAGTGCTTTACTTTTGGCTCCCACAGTCGTTTTCTGCTGCAGAAGCAGCTCTGCCAGCTGACAGGATTGTCACTCTGACATGCATTCACAAAGACTGTATCTGTGTTACATGCCTGAGGCAGGAGCGGATGAGTCAGAGTTTGGTTCTAATGAGAAAGCCCTCTGGGAAGTATAGCAGGGTAAACAAAAAAAAAAACAGTATACCAAACCCTGAGAGAACAGTGCAGGTATGCGAGTGATTCTATAATTGCAGGTACATTTGGTGTCCGAAGTCATTATTTTTTTTCTGCTTTTTTCAAATGGTTATATTTTTAATTATTTTAATACTGTGTTACTCATTTATATGAATTACAAGATGTTACAGTCCATAACAATTTAATATTTTTTGCAAAAAGTGTCTTAAATAGCTGAAAACCATGATTTCTTGTTGTCTGAATTAGTCAGTGCATTTTTTCCGTCATGTATCATTGTGTAATCAAAATATTTTATTTTACTTTTCTTTTGGTAATATTTCATTCATTTTATTTATAAAAGCCCTAAAGAGTCATTTACCTAATTCTACAACATTATTTA